CCTTCAGAGCTGCTACAGTAACCAGGAAAGCACTCACAGCTAACATCAGGCGACAGTAGTTCTCTTGTGCGGATGCCGTTTCCTGTGAACCCACTATTACCACTCCCCACTAATTTCTCCCACTTAATTTAAAGCTCAGCTCTCAAGCAAATACTCAGTTCCACTAACAGTCAGTCAGAGCTCAATAGCCAGAGACGTCGTTCTTCCAGTGGCAGAGAAGGTCTACTCCCCCCAAAACAGAAACAAGTCTAACCCCAAGATTCTTTATGCACTTTTTCCTTATAAGGCCAGCAAGCTTTGCCTTTATTTAGATCTACAAAAAGTGAGCTAATTTGGGAAAGGTCATTCTTTAGCAGTATCTTAACTCTTAAATATTAAGACAGTAACTGGGCGTTACAGAGTGTTTCAGAGTACCATTTTTATACAGAACTTTAAAGTTTTCTTACTTGTTGTCCTTGAAGACATCCATTAAGAAATTTTGATTAATAGTTGGGAACATCTCAAAAAGTTGCTTTTCCTTTAGTTTAGCAGCACAGTCTTTTCTAGCCATGGAAGGAGCACGATTCTACGCAGAAGACAAAGGAACAAAATTACGAGTGCTCGATTACCACAAAATAAAGTAACAGCAGAGCCAATCCAACTTTACTGTTATTTGTTAAGATTTCAAAAAATTCCTGCTCAGTAAGTATGCACTCACAGCAGTGACAACATGCCAATATCAGCCTGCCACACTGGTTCAATGAGGATAAATGTGCTGGTTTAGACAACAAAGTAGGGACAGGTAAGTTGTGTTACAGTCATTTGAAGTGACTCAGCTGGGGCTACCTCACAACTTGGACAAAACAAAATGAGGAACTTAAGTTCTGGAATGCATTCCCTGCTAGTCCAACTAGTCCAATGTTAAGCCTGTGGAAAGTCCACCTCCCTGTACTGAGGGCCTGGGGTTGAAACAACATTTTATTATTAAACAGAGCAAACAGTTTTGGTTTGGCACATCAGAAGCCGTACTGTAATAAATATTCATATTTGTGAAGTCATGCTGAGAAGAAAACATAATTATAGCCCAGAATAAGTCAGACTGATCATTCCAATAGTTGGATTAAGAAAAACATAAAGCGGTCAAAACAAAGCCAAGCTCCATGAATCCAAGCTGAAAGTAAGGCTGCAGACATCCCAGTTGTTATTATCAGTAAGCCACATACATGCAGTTCAAAGAAAGAATCCACAAGCCATTCTTTCAAAACACAGGCTAATCCATCCAACTTTCTGTATCAGCAGAAACAAATCTCCTCTTTTTTAGGACAGCTACGTATCAGAGCCAAGTGCAGTAAAAAGGCCTGTTGTGAGCAACTGCCGGGCAGCGAGGTGCAGTACTACGCACCCGCCACCCAGAGAGGGCATGGGAATGGTGTAGAAAGTACGGAATTAATAAAAACCTGTTTAAAAATTACTATTTTCTGACAAGTATGTACAGAAACCCGTTTGAGATTAACCTCAAGTACTTGTTTTAATGTTTCTTCTGTTATGAATGTTGTGGGTTCTCCTTACAAAAAAATATCAAAATCAATTCAATCTATTTCTAAACTAACAAGGCATGGAGCTCATTAGGAACTTTTTTTGATATTGCTTTCCCAATAAGAAGTGGGGGAAAAAACACACTGAACTTCGGTTTTAGGTGAGCAACCAAAAAACAATTCAACCAAACACAAATGCTAACCTGTACAGTGAAATGCACCATGATCTGTTTGTGAAACAATTAAAAACATTACATTTTAAAGTGAAATTTATATTTTTTTAAACAGAAATATCTACCACAAGCAAACTCCTGTATCACAATAATCAACAATACTAATTGGCAGGCATTTCTCTCACAAATTCAGGCTGTAACCAGCAGGACAAAGACGAGTCACCAGATAGGACATACTCTGCTTCATTAATAATAACAATTTAAACTGCAGAAAAAAATGGTACTAGCCATACCAGGTCCTCTTTCTCCTGCAGAGCTATTTCTTCTGAAATTATTTGCCTGAGAGAAACTTTCTGAATCTGAGCATTCCAGTGATCCATAAAAGGAAAAACATCTGATGCTGCTGTTTTTTTTGTCTGTATGTCATTAGATGAGCTTGAACCCCAGCTCGTTTGTGTCTTCTGCACTTTACTGTCTGCATTCTGAGATAACAGCATTTCTGAGTCATCTGTGTCTTTCTGCTGAATCACAGTAGGACCTTAAAAAGCAGTAAAAATGAGGTGACAAATAAAACAATGATTAGCTTATTTATACAAACAAAGCCAAAGTAATTAAGTTTTTCAACATAGATGGTTTGGGTTTTCTTAAAACAATATTATTAATGCTAAAATAGAAGACAACACATCGTTTTCACCTTCCTCAAATCTATTTTCTAAAGTCTTTCTGGTCATCTTGATCTATTCTGTAAAACAAAAGCAAAACCACCAGACTCCCTCATCAAATTTTCAAGTGCCTCAACACATCTTACAGCTGTAAACTAACTTGCACGTGCATTAAGTGGGGAGGTTTGTTTGCTTTTATAAGAGAATTACAGACTCATGTTTTCATGTTCACCTGCCTTTCCTCCACAATGTTTCCTTCTTCCACCCTCCTACCCCCCTGTAAAAACTGGTAAATGGAAGCCAGGGCAATACCTAAAAGCTTAGCTTAAGACACAAATCCATCGTTTTTCAATAAACAGAGTATTTGCAACCTTACTACATTTTCAATGGATTAAACATTTAATAATGAGAATGAAGTATTTTTACAATTAAGCGAAACACACAACATACCTTCTGCAGACAACTTACACGATTCATCTCTCCTCTGACGCTTCTAAATAAAACCAATGAAACCATCAAAGTTATAAGCAAGCTCTACATTTTGCAGTGAAACTTTGCAAGCCTTAGTTTCTAAGTAAACCAGCTTCAAAATAATGTCTCACAGTATTTCTTAAAGATGAAGTACTTTAAAAGAAATATCTTCAAGAAAAATGATTACGGAGTGAAGCATCTTTCTGAAAACCCATCAAACTAGAGGAACATGCCCCACTGCTAAGATTTCATAACCTTCATTAAATAAATGAAACAAAATTCTGCCAAAAAAGCATTCCAAGTTTTGTAGGGCTATGAAGGAATGGAGGTTAGAGAACTCTTCTCAAGTAATGTACACGGAGATGTTTTGTATACATAATTATACATAAAAGAACTCTTCTTACATGTCAGAAGGCCAGTACTGACTTTTGGCCAGTGGACTTTTTGATTGAACTTGTAGTGAAATTGTGCATTATGATCTTTCTTTGATAAGAATCTTGGTTTCGTGATGAAGCACTCATGACATGCAGTTTCTTCATCCCTTAAACTGTCTTTCAACAGCTCTGATGATTAGGACACGCTGATATACTCCACATATTTTACAAACTACTACTGTATTTTATCGCTGTTCTCACATGTATCTTACACATTTAGACCAACACATGAGCAGACAAATGGTCTGACGAAGCACAAGCATGCCAACCGTATCATAAGCAAGAAATCTACTAACCAGAATAGATTCTTTCCATTTTTCATGGATCACTCTTGCCAAATTCAGGTCAATGTGAACCACACAATCCTCAACAGTTAGTGATCCTTATGGAAGAAAGAAAATATGTTCACCAAAGCATTCTGTTAAAACGTATCTAAGCAATTAAAGTATAGCAGCCTAGACTTAGTAATTGGAATTCTGGAGATTCTGCACAAACTGTCACTCCTGAAAAAAACCTGAGCAACTGCCAAGTTAAAAAAAAAAATTCCACACCGAATTCATTATTTGGTGTTCAAAAACTCAGTAAGAGTAGGAAAAACAAGTTAACATTAATTGTATCTTGTTGAAATATGACTACCTGAACTACTTCTTTCTCTTTTTTCCCATTTTTCTGGCAGAACAAAGGCATTGCTGAATTACAACCACACATTCATTTATTAAGTCGTGATTCCCCGTTTTACTGCAATCCACAGGCAACTGCATTTATGTAACACAACACACTTGCCACAGCCCAACAGCAGCCACATCTCTCCCTTCAAACTCAGAGAAGCAAACTCCAAGTGTTCCTTCTACCTCTAAAGGGAACGGCAGGAATTATCATGGTATCATAACAATACCTCTTCTCCCAAAAATACCTTTTGGATATTGTTTCTCACCTTTTCAAAACTCAAAGGACAAGAAGTACGTATGTATCAAATAAAAAGGCAGGGGATATTTCAGATACAATAAAACACCTTTCTGCTATTAAAAACAAACTTTCTTTAGAGGAAGGTATGGAAGGCAATGAGGCCAATAAATCAGGTATCCAGGGTATTCCTTGTGTTTTCTTTTCTTCCTTCTTCTATCAGTCCAACTTGTGTGATGCATGTTCAAGCTGCTTATGACTTCCTTCATCACAGTCTCTCAGCAGACTACTCTGTTTTCATCTTTTAAGCACAGCTGCACTTTATTTTCTCTCTAAACCATTCATCTTCCCCTCCTCCAATTTAACTGATGCCTAAAGCTTTTTTTCTTTTTTTCCTAACCGGTCATAATTTGCATCTTCCTCATCATCTTAATAGCCCTTCACAGCATGAATATAGGCTCAAAGGCCTGTTGCTCCAAATGCAAATAAGCCACTATATTTTCTTATGCTTTTAAAGTATGCGCATATACAAAAAGACAAAGGTAGCACTACTGTATTTAAATTTTTTGCCACGCTTAGTTCAGTTCCATTTTTGGGTCAACAAAAGCAAACAACAGTGTCACAAGGAATTGTGCAAATCTGTTCCCTAAAAATCAAGCACGAAAGGAAAAAAGCACAGGCAAAAGGAATAAAGGTTTTCTTATCCAGCTGAGTTTTTACATAAAAATATAGATACAGTTATGCCCGTACCTGCATCAATGCCAACAGGCCCAAATATTTCTTTCAACTGGAGTGCCAGTTCAGGGGGTAATGTTAGTTCTAGGCAATCTATATTGAAGGCTGCACGTGACGCTGATACAGCGCTTTGTACGTCGGCTTTAGTTTCATCCCAGCTTGGAGTTTCCTCTTCTTCTTTACCACGTATCTCCCTGGAATTCCCACGCGTTTCTTTATGTGTCTCCATTTCTTTATCACTCTTCGGACCCAGCGGAGCTGCATGATCCACTTCCAGTAACACAGCAGTCACATCGGAGTTCTCTGCACTGCTTTCTGAAGTGTTACTGCCACTTTCGTTATTTAATTCAAACTTCAGACTGGGAGAAGCTGGGTCAGGACCACCACACAAAGCCACGGGGATATATAAACCTGCATCAGGCTCTGAGACTGATGGCTTATTTACAGTTTCTTCAACAGGACCCCCAGGGTCTATGTTCTGCTCTCCCGAAACAGATGGCTCAATGATACCTGCTGCTGAGCTGCTTGCATCAGTTCTAGGGGCTGCATCTCCAGAACTTTCCACCAAATCATTCGACGAGTCAGACACATCAGCATCTGCCACAGCTGCCTTGGCAGCCGTACCTTTTGCAGTGCCAAGTGATGAGCTCTTGTCTTCTGAAGGCTCGGCGATATCACCCGCTTCAACTATATGCGGAGTCTGTTCGCAGCCTTTGAGAGCCTCATCAGGGTCTGTACTTGCCTTGAAATCAGGGTCTGCAACAACTGGCTCAGCTCCTCTCACTTGAGGGCATTCAGTATCAACATCTTTGCGTAACTTCTCATCGGAGTCCAACAGCAGACTTGTGGCCCAGTCGATGTCTTTGTTACATCTTTCATACAGATCTTTCACAGCTTCAAACGAAACAGACTCAAAGAGCTTACACAGCATATTTAACTTCTCAGACTCATCGATACTGCTAAGTTCACTTTCTTCCACAAACGTACTTTTATCATACGTAACTCGATAGGGTACTTTTTCCTGGGAATCTGAGGCATTACCTACGTCTTTGGGTCTGAAGCCATCCAGCCTGCCATGCAATATTTTGGTAGTCTCGGGAAAAAGCATTTTCTTTTCCAGTCTTCGCAGGAGAGCAAAGTCTTGTGATTCAGTCTGTGAATGGCTACTTTTTTGTCTACATGTGTCATGTTCTTCTGCTGTGTTAAGCACAGACAAGTGTTCCTCTTCTTTGGGCTGGGGCAAGTTGTTGCTCGTAAAAGTGAGGGCTAATTTGTGATGTTTCCTCACTCTCTTATTTTGCTGGGTTTTTTTCTCAGCGACTGTTTCACTAGCTCCTGTTTCAGGTTGGTGCACATCCAAACTCTTTGTATCCAGTTGCTCTGCAGTGTTCACAGGTGTCCCACGAAGCACATCTACGGTCTCAAGAGCATTTCTATTAATGTCACCTTCAGTGTTTCCACCTTCATCGGGCTGATTTAGACTTGTCTTTCTCACTCTCCTTGACCTTTGCTGTCTCTGTTCTAACGAGCCTGAGACAGGCCAATGTCCTACCATTTGCAATTCCGGTGTGACTTTATCTGAACTATCAGAGAAACCAGAGGCTAGGTTTTCTTCCTCGGGTCCTTTTTGAACAGCAGAAGTCCCAGGCAGGCCTGCTTCCTCTTTACCTAACTCAGGATGCTGCTGACTGGGCGTTTTACCTTCCGTATCACTCTTCAGAGAAGATTTTTCTAGTCTTCTCGGTCTTTTGACTCTCTGTCCCATTGTTTGTTCTACAGGCCAGTCACCCACAAAGTTTAGTAGCTCTGGTTTTCCTGACCCGTCAAAAGCTGAACTGCTTGGTTCTGCTGTGTTACTACTTTGTGCTGCTTCTGGTTCCGTGCATATTTTGCCAGACTGTTCAGCTTCAGTTTGAACTTCAATAATGTTACTATCACTGTGTTCTTCAACTCCGCCTGTCTGCAAGCACACAGTCTCTTGAGTCATGGACACATCAGCCTCATCCATTTCTGTTTCAGTATTTTTTTCTATTTTTTCTCCCTTTTCTTCTTTCTTGTCCGAGGGCAGATCTTTTTCTACACAATCTGATACATAAACATCCAAGTCATCTTGAACAGTGCTGTTTGCTGAACTGTGTTCCACTGGGTTATTTTCCATTTCTTGTCCCTCTTTCTGAAAATGCTCAGGATCACGATTACTTTCTAATGTTAGAGAAGTACTGGGAAAAGTGTTATCATCTTCAGCTGATTCACGACAGGTTTTTCTTCCTTGACATCAGAATGTGCCTCTCTCTGTCTGAAAGACAAATTGGAATGAAAGATAAACCCATTTCAAATCTTCTTTAAGTACTTGTCCACATTTTTAATTTTGGTTTGGCTATTTAGTATTTTCAAATTACAGACCAGAAACCACCTTTTAGGACACTAATCATCCAGCCGGAGAACTCTAGTGAGAGGAAAACAAGTTCAAGATGACCTAGCCAACACTCCTTTATAAAAAAGAAGGTGCTAGGCGAAGCATAACTTTTCTTGGCAAGTATCTCTGTTTTACTTCAGCATGGGGTTAAGAATACTTTCTCAGGAGTCTATTTTCCCCCATTCCCAGCATTCAGGTGTTGTAGTAAAGCACTCTGCTGCCAGACATTTGCTCATTCAGATGAGCAAACCTGGTAAATATGCATTTATTTAATGACTGTTGCTCTCTCCTGATGGCTAAATGCTAAAGAAAGTCTAGAAGTTAACTAGGAGAGGATGTACCATTTTTCACGATCAGTTGCATTCCATTAATTTCAAATACATTAAGCATGCAAAAGCTAAATTAAATAATCACAATAAAAGCTGATGTCCTATGCATTGTTATATTGCATATACTGCATCATTCAAATTAGCCACTAAATAGTTGTGTACACAACCAACATAGGATCATAGAATCAAGAAGTTCTTCCCAAAGAGGGTGGTGAAGCACTGGAAGAGGTTGCCCAGAGAAGCTGTGGATGCCCCATCCCTGGAAGTGTTCAAGGCCAGGCTGGACGAGGCTTTGAGCAACCTGGTCTAGTGGAAGGTGTCCCTGCCCATGGCAGGGGGGTTGGAACTAGATGGTCTTTAAGGTCCCTTCCAACCCAAACCATTCCATGATTCTATGATTCTGTAACTCAGAAACAGTAATTTGCTCATATCTGGGACGACATTCTTCCGAAAAGCATGTTATAGATTTTGAGTGTTTCGTACATGTTCATACCTACAACATGCAGCCAACAGCCCATTTCTAAGATAAGAGGAAGTCAATCAAGATTGGCTGATTGAAAAGTAATACACTGCCAGCCATACTGGAAGGTTTGCAAAAAGCATCAGAAAGCCAACTAGATCCCTTGACTGCTCATTTCTAGAAATCCTGACATTTTTAAAAATTAAAATAAGAACAAACAAAAAACCCCAAACTACATTATTATTATTATTTAACTCATTTTTAATGCATTCACTGTTCTACAGCGTTATCCAGGTTCCATTGCTATGAAGTTTGAATTTTTAGCCTCTTCTTTGAGACTACATAGCTAGTGAAAGAGTCTAACCTATGGCTTTCCTCCTGATAAGGATCTTCACTCCAGCCAGCAGCTTCTGATTTGTCTGGGACTAAAGAATCCAGTATGGAACTAACAGTAAGGCAGCGTTCATACCGTTCCAACATTCTTTTGATCTTTTCTTTAGATACACCATGAATGTTTCGCCTATGAATTTAAAAAAAAAAAAAAAAAGAAAAATAAAAAGGATTTTTTCAGATTTGTATATTACAATGACAGAAGAGAATAATCTAGTAATAATTTAATGATAGTAAGTTTATAGCAACTAAACAGAGAATTCAGGGAACCAGGACAAAAGCTGTGAAACAGCAATTCCTTCTGTATCAGTGCACTAAGGCATTCCAGACAGGGGATATCAGACAAATCACAGCTCCACTTGACTTCACACCACCTGGTGGCCCTGTTCTGCAATACTAAAATCTAAAACTTTCCCAATAATGCATCTTCTGAAACACACTGTATCGGATCTTGACAGGGATGCAGGCTATCAAACTGGGTACGGAAAATTTCTAATTCAGGCTTCCTTCTCTGGTTTTGCTAAACTAAGAACTCCTTGAGGAAAACCTATTATTTTGGACATCCCTTGGTTAGGAATCTTCATTGCCTCTGTTAAATACCAACTACCAATACGCTCTGCAGCAGTTCAACCTAGAACAAGTGAATCCTGCCAAGGATGACAAAACAGAAATTGAAGGTACAGGAGAAAACGTTTAAATTCTACTTTAGGAAAGAAAATAAACTTTATTACCTAGCTTGAGAAGCAGCCAACCTTAAGCTAAGCATGGAAATGCAGATGACAATAGATATTATGAAATCACAAAATAATTTACATTGAAAGGGACCTCTGGACGTCACGCACTCCAACTTCCTGCTCAGAGGACGTACAGCTACATCAGGCTGCACAGAGCTTTGTCTTGTCACTTCTGAATATCCTTAACGACTGAAAGTCTACAGACTCTCTGAGCAACCTCCTACAGTTCCTGATCACCCTTTCAAAGTAAGTTTTGTGGTTTTTTCTTTTATGTAATAAAAATTTCTCAAGTTCCAACTTGTTTATGTTTGGTTTGTCCTACCCCTGCACAATTCTCAGAAGAGGTATTTTTATTCTTCTCTATAACCTCCCAAAAGATAACTGAAGGGCTAGCAAAATACCACAGATCTGCTCTCACAGCTCCCCTGCCTTCCTCCAGCGGAGGGGCAGAATCAGAGGAAAAAGACAAAGCAGCTCGTAAAACTGAGATAAGAACTATTTCCTAATTGAATATAGATGAATAATATCTATAAAAATGAATATATACAAATACTACTAATAATAAGTAATAAAAATTACAGAAAATAAAACATGTGATACAATATGATACAACTGCTCACCACCCACCAACTGATGCACAATCACGTCCCAAGAAGTGAGAGTCAGAGCCTGAGAGCCGCAGCCCGAGAGAGATTGCAGCAGAGTCTGTCAGCGACAGCATGACCAGGAAAACCAAACAAACCCACCAACTCCCTCATGAATGAGCCAGCACAGGAGTCAGCAAAGCAGCTAACAAAGGAGTTAGAGAGTCTTAGCAAGTGAAAGTGAAAAAGAGTTAGAGAGTGAGAAAGAGTAATGGCTCCCAGACCCTCTCCTCGCCTCTGCCCTGAGCATGACGTACTATGGAATGAAATACTTCCCTGATCAGTTGGGGTCAGGTGCCTGAACTGTGTGTCCCTACACTGCCTGTAGCGAGACAGCAAGAGCTGGGAACGCAGCTGCAGTGTCAGAAGAGGAAAAAGACCTTGAATTCAGTGCAGGCACTCCCCAGTGCCAGCTAAGACCTTAGCAATACTTTTCTCAGTGTAAACATAGGAACACAGCTTCATAGCAGCCACTGTAAAGAGAGTTAACTCTTTCCTGACCAAAACCAGCACACAACTATATGATCCTTCTTTATCGTTCTCTTCTTAAGGCTGAAGAAACTACTCTTGCTCAGTTCAGTATTACCTGCAAATCTGTTGAGAGCACACTGTTTCAACATCCAAGTCCTAAAAAGGACATTAAATAGTAGTGGCCCTAGTATCCACCCTAGAGGGACATCAGCCTCTTCTTGGACTCTGAATCTGGTAGCCAGCCAGTCTTCTAGCTACCTTACAATTCACTTACATAGCATTTGCATCTTGCCTATTTTGGCTCTAAGTAATGGCTCTACGACTGTGTACAAAGTCCTGCTAAAGAAGAAGTAAACAACAATGGTGATGCACAGGGGTTTGTTCCTCTCAGGTCATGAGGTGACTACTGTCTCAAACTCAGTGACAGCAGAAACATTTCAAGTCAGGCAACAGACCAGCTAGATGCAAAACCAGCTCCAAGCTCACAACATTTTTGCAACCCCAGGAACCTGAAGGAGCAGCCATCGTATCTTAAATGCAAAAGAAGCGTGATCATGAAAACATTACATAGTATCTATTGCTAACAGTTATCTGTTGTATGCAATCACAATAAAGTGACAGGGAAAAAATAATCTAATAATACATATAAAATCGCACAGAAGTTACTATCATAGGAAGAAAAAACCCTACTGAAAAGCCACTTATTATCATAAAAATCTTGACTAATACCTTGTTACCTCACCAGACACAGTACCAAGTGATTTCTTTTTAAAAACTCCTAATTCATAGACTGAGAAAGATACACAATCTAATATGAAATTCTCCTTTACGTTCTTACCTTTCAAGTTCTTTTGGCTTAAACTTCCACCAAGTGTCTGGTTCTCGGAACATGACTTTGTATTTGAACTGCTGAGCCTGAATAAAACAGAATAAGCCACATCACTTATTTCTACGAAAAAGCACACAACATGTATAGCCTGCTTCTTTAAAGATGCTTTTTGTATTTTTCAAAACCAATTAAACATTTGGAATAACAAACTTTTGCTTAGTGTTTCACTTATATAAATGGAGACTTTTGAAAACATGTATACGTATCTCTTACTGTAAAATTAAACATGTGCCACAACCACAGAAAAATCACTATTTTATATCATCCCTTTAAACGTTCTACCTCCTGTCAAGACTGCAAAACACCTCCCCTTTGCAGGCACAGTATGCACATGTCTACACAGACTCTCCAAACGAAAAGCTCACTGCTTGTATTCAGAGCTGGCCAGACGCGAGCCAGTTCCAAAACAGGTGGTTCAGTTACGTTAATAGAGCTACTGTGAACAGACTTCCTGCCATCTGGGAAACTTCAACGGGCTGCAAGTAAATGGTCCTTACATGGTCTAGTCTCACCATCACAAAAAACGAGCCTAAAGTCTGATCAGGGGAAACACCGCAAGTACTGTCATTTCTCCCGTTTTCAGAGAAAATGCTTATCACCTTACCAAATCCTGCACTTCCTGGAAGAACTTTTGTTGTATCTTTATTTCAGTATACAGCAAAATCAAGGACTTAATTTATGAAAGAACTGTTAATCTGAAAATCAGCAATAAATGCAAGGATAACAAATCTTCTGTTAATAAAAACAACCTGTGTTAAGTCCCACTGTTCACTAATCCATTACCACGTGCAGTGCACAGAGTTTCTGCTCAAGAGCTGTCAGTTCTACACGCTATACTCTCTGATGTGTTTCTATACTATGGTAGGAGAAGTCCCAGATCTACTTTATAGCATTTCTTCCGATATATTATTTCTGCTAATCAGAACCGATTTTATAAAATAATGCAGTCCTGTCAGCATAAAAAGATTATTGAAACTCACAAACAAAATGATGAATTATCAACAGCAAAATAAGAGCTAGAGTCTAAAAGTGTTGATGCCCACTTAGAAACGATTAAGTGAAAAGTAGAGAATCTCCAGAAAACCAGAGTATGGGAAACCTACAACAGAGTTCACCAAGTTATTTAAATCATTAAACCTCACTTTGGAAGGTAAATGCAGATTGCATTTACTAAGTACTAAATAAAAGCTGTTCACTTTTAGTCCCTAAATAAAAGCACTACACTACTAACATAAAATAGTGTAGGTGCATTATTCTGATTACATCACTTCCATAAAAATTATAAAGTAAAACTGCATAACTTCAAACAAGCTAGCAATATCTGGTAACTCTTGCCCTCCAACTGGTCAGCTAGTATCCGCTTCTACATCATATTTAGGATGAAACTAAGACCCTGTTGTCAAGTTTCACGGAGCATCAAACACCACTCATTAATTAGTGCTGATTATATTTTAAAGGCAGTTTATAGTTTTACTGCTCATATAAAGGAGAAACAGAATTCAGATTCCTCAGCAATATTTATTTTTACTCCCAAGTCCAAAGCACTTGGCTTTGTCACTTGGAAACCAGGCCAGGTCAACACTCAGACGCACAGAGAATATGACTCTGGATAATATGAGTCCATGTAACACTTCTTTTTGACTCCAGTCTTGTGGAATGGCAGCTAAACTGAGAAAGACAATCTCATTTAAAAACATATCTTGTTGCCATGATGGTCAATAGCCCCCTTTCACATTCATCAAACGGTAATACTAACCAAAGAAACATACGGCTTCATCTCCCATGCTTGTATGTTTGTGTTGTCTATTATTATAGGAGAGATTCTCATTTCAAATGCTTCTTTGGCTGAAAGACATGCGTACAAAACAAGGTGATACAGTTAATTTCGTTGTAATAGGGTCGACACGTAACATTTCTACTAGTTCGCTAAATTTCTAATATTTTAAAGCAGATAATCCATAATGATTAACCACTGTGTAAAAACACTTGCCACTGCTTGATCTGTTTCAAGGCCCTCTCTTATTTTAGAAATCCTCCCTCGCATGTAAAGCTGAGATACGGCATTATTCTTTTGAATTAACATATGTATGATAATCAAGGAATGAAAGTGCAGATGTAAAATGCACCAAGATGACTAATCAGTCAGTAAATCTCCTGCACGACATCCTTGTCTCAAA